GGCATCAATGCCTTCTACAAGGGCCTGGTGCCATTGTGGATGCGTCAAATCCCATACACCATGATGAAGTTCGCTTGCTTTGAGCGCACCGTTGAGCTGCTTTACAAGTGAGTCTGAAACCGAAAAGTGTTGGAAAGTTCCCCCTCCTAATCGATGCGTTATTCTGCTCCACTTTCTGCCAGGTATGTGGTTCCCAAGCCCCGCGTTGAATGCACCAAGGGCGAGCAGCTGGTTGTCACCTTTGCCGCTGGCTACATTGCCGGTGTGTTCTGTGCCATCGTATCGCATCCCGCTGATGTGGTCGTGTCCAAGCTGAACCAGACCAAGGGTGCCAGCGCTGTGAGCGTGGCCAAGTCCCTCGGCTTCAGTGGCATGTGGAACGGCCTGGCGCCACGTATCATTATGATCGGTACCCTGACCGCTCTGCAATGGTTCATCTATGATGGTGTCAAGGTTGCTCTGGGCATTCCCCGCCCACCACCACCAGAGATGCCCGCTAGCCTTAAGGCCAAGCTGGAGAAGAAATAAGTTGAAACGACGGGCAGAACTCAATGATCCACTTGTAGTTTAAGGCCAGAGTTAATGCGTTGGCGCGGACTCGGGCTGAACCAGGAGCAGCAGCAGCAGCAGCAACACCAGCATACATTTACTTTCTTTCGATTGTGAAACGAGGTTATTCGTTTTAAGATTATATATTTAATTTCTATAGAGCTCAATGTTGTGTGTGTACGATGGACACATGGACATTCCAGTAACACTTCATGCATTTCTCTATCTCAGCCATTTATCTACACTACACTACAAAACGAAACTTAAGCTGTCGGCAAATCCAACATTCTATACGCGAATCTATCTTATGTAACTAAACTACACTCAAGCTAAAAGTATTCCAACTCTAATTTTACGCATATATGTATATGTATATCTTAACATAATGTAAAGTGTCTCTAGCTTACGCTGGCTAGAATGTTTGCATGTTGTCTCCTGAGCTTCTTCCCATAGCCCGGCCGCCCACTTGTTCACCTTCCCTGTCTCCTGGTCCTGCCCCTGTCACACATGCGAATATGATATAACGCTGTTTCAATTGTTTGATCCGATCCCCAAGAAAGCACTCTGAATAAATTAATTTATAAAAACAAATCAAACCATGCATTTTCAATGTCTGGCTATGCATCTATCTTTCTATCTACAACTGGTTGTAGCTTGAGATGACGTCAGTTCGTCAGTATCGTTTGGAGATAACCTTATGACCAACCAAGTAGGTGCTATTCCCTGACATTGAAATGTGATTTTTTATGGTAGCAATTATTGGGTGTGTGGCGTATTCCCGACCTGTGCTTAGGTTGCATTGCAAAATGTGTGCAATCATTTTAAAATGTCTATATAGCATTTTGTGCTTAATTTGTGATCATCTCGTCTTCAGTATTCACAGAGCAGCCGGATTTTTTGTTTTTTAAATATTTTCTTTGATACGTGAATGGATGCGGTTCCTTACAAACATTCGTTCTATACCCAGCGGTGATCCGGGTATAATTAAATTACGGTTGACGAATCGCCCTCGAGCGAGGTTTCGGTTTTTAAATCGATTTAAATCGATCTGGACAGAATCGGCTGAACCTTAAAGCTCGGGTTCTGAATCGTTTTTAAGTTGGGACACGATCCGCCAATGTCTACACTAAGAATTTCCGAATCGGCCCGGTGCACACAGCACAATGGTTCCAAAACTTGTCTTACGCCAAGTTAGCCTTCTATCCAAATGAACACCAATGTACGTTACTTCAGTGGTTTGTGGAATGTTGATTTTGTTCAGATATAATGGAGGGCAAGTTTGTATGTTTAGAGTAAAGGTGATTGCACTTTTGCTCGTTTACGTGTATGTGCCAGTCTAATAGCCATTTTTCTAAGGCCACGAGATGAGATGATAAGTTTGCTCTTGTTGGGCACTTGGATCGACTTAGTATGGCAGTATCAGTAGCAAATGTCCAAGTTGTTGTTAGGCTGTTTGTCGATAGATCTGCTGTGAAGATGATATGCAGTGTCGGTCCAAGCACGCTGCCTTGGGGTGCACCAGCTTCAATTGAAAGTAACATTTTGATTTTGTGGATAAAGCCATCTAACCAAACGCGGTCGAAAGCCTGGGCGACATCCAGAAAAAACAGCGGAGCAATACTCATAGGTTTTACGGTTTACTTGTTCAATGGTTCCATGTTTTTCGCGAAATTCAAATTGGTGCATCGGGATGGTACCGTTGATGTGTGTTGTTTGATACGATTCAGGAGCTGCTTTTCAAATATATTTGATAGGCAAGGCAGTAGGCTGATAGGTATATTTGATGATGGCTTGGACTTGTCTTTTCCGACTTTATGGATTATTTTATGGGAGAAGAAATCGTGGCCTTAATGACCCTTGTGAACTCTCCTGATTGGAATATGATAGGCGGAGTAACTTCGGGATTCTTGGTTGGTGGGAGCAAAAAGCTATATGTTGCTGGGTGTGGTTTGAAGGCGTTTTTTAGATGGACTCTTTCCCACTCTCCTGTTTGTGTACGCAAAGGTAATTTACTCTCGATTGGTGGGCATACACCTGATTTAGCTTTCCACAGTGGAAATCGTTTGGGAATCGTTTTGCCGCCAGTGACATTGAGGATACTAACGCTTCGACTGCCCCATCAATGTCATCTTTACAATACATTTTTGGGCAGCTATCAATATGGGAACTTATGTACTTCCTGTATTTGAGCCAATCTGTTTTGCTAGATGTTAGAAAGTGTGGGCGTTCCGAAAGCTGTGGATGGTCGTAAAGGTGAAGTAGAATTGAATTGAATTGAAAATTTCAATTTAATGTTAATTTTTAAAGTAATTAGTTTATACTATATCATTGAGTTAAGCCTAGGACTCAGTTCCAAAAAAGGCCATTCAATACATACTAGAAAAGCAACAGATGGTATTTTCCCATCTCGAGCGGAACATATAAATATTCTATCTTTCGTCGTCAAAAAGGCACATACACACACACATAAATTTAAAATGGAAGGAAACAAGTGAAAGCCAGCTACAAAAGTGCAATAATGAAGACAAATTTAATTTAGCTAAGGCAGTCGAATGAATACCGATCATTTGGATATTATTACTTATTAATCTTATACCCCGTACTCATTTTAATCAGATAAAGATTAAAATGAGGTAAAAACCATGTTGATTGCATATCTGTCCTACAGGATCGGATCTGTCCAATATTGCAGTGTGCATCATCGTCCTCCAACTCCACAGGGCCAAAAAATTAGACATTTCTGCTCGCTTTAGGACAGCCTTTAACAGATTTCCGTTTGTAAACAAACACAAAACAGTGTAACCGTAGAGCATGCAGTTTGACCACTTTGGTCACACTGGGCACCGAGCGGCATATAAAGCACTTTCGGTCTACGGAAAATTTAGCGCGTCTGAGTATTAGGCTTAAAGGTTACATTTTAATAAAAAACGAGAAAAACGTTGTGAGTCGCTTCTGTGGACGCGACTCTACTTTTATAACCGTACTCAGTCAGTATATAAATATGTGAGCTTATGATTTATGTAGAATTAAAAAAATTATATATTTAACATTTTTTTTTTGCATCTTCTCCGAAAAGTTCGTGCATTACACAGGGTAGAGTGTGTGCGAGCGAGAAAGAGAATAAGCAGAATAAGAACATCGTAAGCAGCGCTGGTGGAGGTGGGGGTGCAACTGAAAATTAATTTCTTTATTTTGGCTATAATAATTATCGGATCTGTACTAGATTCGTCAATATGGTAGATACGGTCATAATCTACGATACTGCGTTTTTAGTTTTATCGCATTTTCAAAATTGTGGCTGGCACAGATTTTCGTTCTTTGTGGGGGAGGGGCGAAATTTTGAAATACGTTTGTAGCAGTGTGATATCACATGAGTCTGGAAACAAGATTTGGTTGCTCTAGCTCTTATAGTCTCTGAGATCTAGGCGCTCAACAAGACGGACCAACATGCGATTTGGTAAGTGCATTTCGGTAAGTGCGTCTGCAGCGTCTGCTTGTCGATCCAAACCTCAAGCAGCGTTGCATGAGTAAACTCATAGACACCAGCAAAATGTAAAATTTCATGAAACCGAACAAAAACGAGCAAAAGCTTTAATACCATTTGATTGTATAATTATTGGTTAAAAAAATCTCAATTCAACCTTGGTGATTGGTTGTGCTATACATAAGTAATATTCTACACTACAAATACACTAAAGCTGCACATTGGACAATTCAATAAAAACACATATGTAACTATCTAAAAACATGCATTACAAATTAATCTAAATACCTTGACCTACATTTTCCATATTTACACTCTTAGTTAATATTTGGAAACACACTGACATTCAAGCTGCAAGCTGTGCAATGTTTCCCGCACTTTTTTACAGGTCAGGAGTCCTGACTCAGGACTTTGAAAGCGCGCAAAAAATTAGGTGTGTTTCGTAAAAATGTTCCAAAAATAGTTTTATTCTATCTTGTTATTAAGGAATCAAAAAATTAAAACCGCATTAAAATGTTCAACACAAAAAAAAAAAACATTTATGTTAAAAATTTCGGCAGTGCAGTGTGCGGTGTGAAACACGGGCAACTGGTTTCCAAATTGGCTTTAGTATACCGATTGACTGGTCGAATAGTCCAACACAGGAGACGTAAATGGTTAACCATGGTTCGAGCAAAATCTTGTTGTCAAATAGGGCTGTCTGCTTAGCCCTTTGCGGTTTGCTCGACGTGTCCATATGGTCTGGAGGAGTCCAGCCAATAAACGAATCAAATAACATGGAGCCTTCAGTCAGAATTCCAATAATTTTTTTGTTTTAATTTTTTTATTTTGTTTATGAGGAGTGAGCATAATTATTTAATATAATGGCTCGTTGTGTCATAATCTCTTTAAAAACTAAATAATCATAGGGTTCTATCTCTCACTATATATTTACATGTATCCACACATAAGTATATACATATGTATGTATATATGTATAGTTGATTTATTCACATTATCAGTGTGGCGCCTTACTAACTAAATAACCTCTAAGGACTACAAACTAGAAATCTTTACATAACTAAGCTCAGACGCATATAAATGTATTTAACAGGCAATTTTCTGGTATATGTGTATTGTTTGCTTTGTTGCTGTATGTACAAATCACTTAGATCTAGTTGGGTGTATTTTATTGTATTGTGTAGTGTATAGTCGGCGATTGGGATCACACCAAACAATTATGACACAGAATTTCGTTGTCTGTTATGTGGTTATGCGAATATTTTGTTGCTATTATGTTATAATATAGTATATTGCAGGACGTGTTTTCTTCTCCGTAACAAGCCATTTCAGTCTTAACGTTTCAAATAACCAAAAGGAAAAATTTTATGATTTAAAATGATAAGAACAAAATATTCAGAAATGATAGATCGAATAAACTTAAGCACTAAAATGATGTTTTTTGTGTGTAAACTAGCAAGTATGTATGTATAATGCACTGATTTTTGTTTTTGTTTGCTATTTTTTCTTTCTTTATTTTGCAGTTGCAGAAAATTTCGAAACAATGGTTCGCTAGGATACGTCACGCCTTAAGCTTCACTTCCTCTCCTTATTATAGTTTCTTTTTCGTTTGGTTTTTGTAAATCTAATATCAGTTATATCGATGTAGACAATCACACAGGCAATTAGGTAGACATTAAATAAATTTAGTTTTTCAGACAATTCTTTCCATGAGCATACAAACAATTTTAAAAAGATATACGTTAAAGATATGATCTTGAAATTCCATTGGACAAGCATACAAGTCCGGGGGTTTGCTTAGTTAAAGTAGTTATGGGCCCTCGTCTCTCATCTAGTGTAGAGAAAATCTCTAGTCAATGGCACATTAATGATTAAGTCAAAGGTTTCGTTAGTGTTAAAATCTCTTAGACTCTCTCTCTGTCCCTCATTCTTTCCTGTTCATTTTCTGTTACTTTCTGTTCATGTGGCCTAAATGAGAAAATTTCCTTTCTGAGAAGGAAAATCCATTTCCTCTCCCAAAACTTCACCAATATGGTGTGTGCGGCTCTTGATGCCAGCCATTTTGCTCCTGCACCTTGGCCAGGGCATCGGTCAGGGTGGACCTTATTTGCTGACTGGAGTTGCGATTCTGACCCTTATCATAGGGAGAGAGGGCATTGTAGTAGAAGGGCGAACGCTTGCTGATGGTGTAGTTTGTTCCCTAAAAAGGAGAATTGGAAATTATAGACAATTTGTTCGCATTTAATGGGACTGTTTTCCCGACCAACTCACATCATTATTGTCCCAGTACTCTGTGTCGTTAATGCGATAGCAGATGCAGAACTCCAGGCGCTTGGAGGATGGCGGCAACGTGATCTTGAACGAGAATGTATCGAAAACAACGTGGGCACAGGTGGACGGTCCATAAGCCCTGGCAAAAGTACAAAATATATCCTGCTGACTCTTCCAATCGTCCCAGGTGACACGCACAATGATCTCCTTCTGGAAGTCAACGTTCTTCACCTTGATGGTGCCCACCACTATGGACTCCTCATCCTTGACAATTACATTCTCTAGGGACACAAAATCCCGATCTATCTTTTGTCTGTCATAGAGGAAAAAAGATAATAAGAATCTAGAGATACTCGCAATATGGGAGAGGCAGAACTTACCTAAACGATAGATAATCAGAAGCTGGCTGCTTGAAGTCCACTGTCCACTGATCTGGTGGATGCGGACTGACCAGGCCCTGTGTTATCTGCTCCAAGAACTTCATGCTCCAATAGGGCGGCACATTCGAGGGTTCGGACATCACGCGAACCTCGGTTAGCGATAGACCCTCATCATCGGCGAAGATCACATGCTTTTTGGGCCCACGACTGCAAAAACACACAAAAGAAATCCCGAATGAATAAGAAATATATAGAAATACATTATAATTATATATATTATTAAATATAGAATTGACCCTGGCCTTATCAGGTTAGCTTGACCCCCCATTGGGCATTTGCTCATTGCCTTTGATGGTCATTGACTTTTATTCTTTCAGGAGATTTCTATTTCAATGCCCAACAGTTTGATGGCTTTGTTTGTCTTTTAGTTTAGGTAACTGCGTCGTTTCGAAATGCATTTCTTTCAGATCATTTGTGGATTTCTGCGGATCAGAAGAAGCTCTTTATACTATTTGCGAATAATTTATATTTTCAAGCCCAACAATCACCAACAAATCGAAATATATTTTATGTAAAATTTTCCCTCTCCTCATAAAAATTTCTTTCCGTTTAGAAAATGTTGTTCCCAAAATTTGCCTGCGTCATAAAACGAGTAATGTGTATTGAAAATTTTGTTGTGTCTATTTTTAGTAGCCACGTACGACTTTGCCAAAAATTAGCTTGAAGATATATGTAAAACACGCCTACTTTTTTTTGCTTTCTTTCGATTCTTCCCACGAGTCTCTGGCTTCAATGTAAATAAAAACACACCCCACTCGGATGCCACCACATACATACATATTGTACATATACATATCTCCGTGATTTGACAAAAAGGAACGATTCCCCAAAAAAAAAGGTAAAATAAAGAAAATATCAAACTAAAAATTTTTGCAAACAGAAAACAAAATGGTTTTTAAAAATAATTAAAACGCTAATGAGGAAAATTTTTAAACCCTTAAAATGCCGATATACACAAATTATACCGTAAATATGTGCATATATGTACATAGATATAAAATGCTATATATTTTCCACAAACAATATATATATATATGTATTGTGCAAGAATGTACACACTCGAATCTTTAATTGAAAAATAGTTTCCTTTACTGTTTCATGTACTTCAAAATCAAAATTACAGCAAAATATGTGGAACTGGGCCAGATTTAATCATGTATCAATCATTTACATAGTATACTCCTATACTTTGCAGCCATAATACTTCATTAGATAATTTTCCGCGATCAGTGCTGCTTTACAAACTCAATATAAAGTCACATAATGTGTCCTTTTTTGGGATACCAATAATATAGAGAATTTTTTGTATTATTTGTGCTATTTTTTAAACTAATTCCATAGTTGTTATCATTAGCTCTTTTAAAGCTTCCAATAAAATCCCTAAGAAATAAGCTTTATTTAGAAATTGTACCCCATCAGACGATTAGATAACTTTGGCGTTATCAGAGTCGCTAGGGGCTTGTTTTGAATGGAGTTATTCGAAAAACAGCAATCTACTGACGATCCTAAAGCAACCCGCCCCCCGCACAGAACATATATTTGGCCAGCAGAGAGGGGAAACGCATCGAGTGCTAAATATATATTCGAAATACAAATAGCTAGCAATTGTTGGCGTTGGCCATTGCCAGGCCAGGCCAGGTTGGCTTTCTGTTTATTGGATGCCGACAATATCAAACAGCCGGCTCTGGCATTTCTGTAGAGATCGTACCACACGACCACGATCAGGCGGCTCGACTATCGATGTGGACGACGGCGATCACGCATCGAGGGAATGATCAGCAGTGCGCCCGGCTACCGCTGCCGCTGCTGTGGCTGCATTTTCTTCAACAGGTTTCCGTTTGGGTCGAGGCGATTGCTTATCTTGTGTGGGCTCAACGCTCAACACCCATCCCATCAGAGCCAGCAGCAGACCAGAAATCAGAGACCCAGACAGGTCTCGTTTTTTGGTTTCTTTCTCTTGGCTGGCCGCTTTCCTGCTTTCAGTTTTTAGTTTTATGAGCGTGTCAACTAGTATACTCGTACAAGAGGTTCGCCCGAAAAAACATTTACATTCAAATACATTTTCCAGTTACTATAGGTTCCATTTTTTCCAAGGGGAACGAGTTTCTCCGTCAGCTGCATTTGTCCACCAAATCGAACGACACGAATCCACCAAAATAACCATACAATTCCGTATGCATTACAGATGGCATGTATTTCTGAGAGTCCGGTTTTAAGTCCATAAATATTAAAACTCTTCAATATGCAAGGCACATTAAGGTTTTTATTTTCCTTTATTTTATTTAATTTTGGTTGAATTGATGCGGAAACGAGTTTTCGTTTCATGTAAAACGGATTTTTAACGTACATACATACATGTAGATAGCTCAACATATTTTCAAAATTTCCCTATGTTTCGATCTACATACCTTGATCAAGGCCTTTGCTTTGAGTCTAAAAACTAATTGATTGGGGCATTCTGAAGGTTACAATGGTTGACGTTTAGAAGAGGTCCTTGACCATTTCTTATTTAATATTAATAATCACAAGGTGCTTTCATCTTTTATATTCCAAAGTTTTCAGTTTTTTTCCATTTCTTCTCAGATTTTCGGGTCCATTTTCCCAACAAAAGCTCAAAGTCCAACAGTAAAAGACTGGAAATAGTTCTTCTGTGGATGGTTTTTAGTGGACATAGTTTTGGATGATCCCCCGTATCATTACTTTCTATATCATAAAAAAAAATGGCTTACATACTGAATAAAATAAGGAATTAATTTCAATGTACAGATGTACAAGATTTCCCAGGCTTTTACAGCAGACAGTTGCCACACGATCTGATCGTGGCACGTGATGTTCGCATGAACATCAGACAGCTCCGTCCCCCCTCTTCTTCTCTCATTCTCTATATATAGCCTTAAATATGCGTGTATTTGTATGGCGACTGGGTGGGGACGGGACTGTAATGTCGAAATATATTTAGTTAGGTTACACCCGAAAAAAATGTGTGTTCAGTTATGATGCCTTTCGTTTCAAAGCGATCACGCTTCTAGGCTAATAATTCTTCGGCCTTGACGTGACCTGGCAACGTTGTTTGATGGGTGATCTTGATGATTTTCGTTTTTGGGGCGTAATTAAGAAAGCTTTTTTCATAGTCTGTCAAGTCTGATTGAAAGGTGGAGGGGGGGAATGTGGATTCCGCTAAGAGTGTTTCCGATTTTTATAGACGACTTCGTCGGAAAACTAGTTGAATGGGTCATATTTGAGATCATAGTTCATAAGTAATTGGAAATTTACGCAAATATCCAAACGGGATCAGTTTGAGCTTTTTTCTAAATGATCAAGCACTATTTTTCAGCTCTAAGTTCTAGCTTATTGTTTCTCCCAGTGTATTTAGTTACTCTTAAAACATGGCGGCGAGCATACTTAACACTCGACGGAAACCCCTGACATCAGCCACTATAAAAACAGCTGCTGGCAAGGGACGCGTCTGGGCTGCACTGATAATACCATACCAATGCCACATCGCGAAATATTTTATCTAGTCTCCCTCCCTAGTCTCCTCTAGTCTCTAGACTCTAGATGTATATGTTGTACATAAATGTGCACATATTTATATGTACATGTATTCCTCTTGACACATACAGATTTTTATTTATTTTTAGGCATTTTTCAGAAGGTCAGTTTCAAGTTAATTGAAGGAACTCGTTTTCTAGGGCTTCTTGAAGTTCAAACATATTTCATTAATCCAAGACTTTGACTGTACGATATGTGAAATAATAATGTCTTCCATTTACACATCGTTTTTTATACTAAATAAAGAGAAAATTAAAATAATGGCGCCTTGCTGCTTGGCGCTATACTAAGTGACAGTCTATTCCGTTTTCAGTCTTAATTTGTTGTGGTTTTTTATCTCAGAGATACTTTGTAGATAGAGGGACGACTCAACACTCGTTGCAGTGGCGTGTTTTTTGTGTCAGGGTTTTTGGTTTTTTTCCTTTTTGGCAGATTTCTGCAATCATTTAGATAATTTATCTTTAATTTTGTTTTCGTTTCTTCTGCAAAATTGCATGCTTTAAAATTAGATTCCATTTTTGAATATACATATATAAATATATTCCCTCTAGTATATTTGATGATCTGTTTGGCTGTATTTAGTAAGGTAGCCTGGCGGCTGTATGCAATTTCCTTTTCTCCCGTTTACCATTTGACATGTGCCCGACTATGACGTCTGTGGGAGAGTTGTGTGAATGCCAAAAGAAATGTTCGGGTTTTCTTGTCTCTTTGCTGAACTATCGCTAATGACTTTTAAAAGAAATATACATGTTTATAAATGGCATAAAAGGAAATGATTGGCATTCGGATGGGTCATTGGGGCTGCTTATGAGATCAGCCAAGTTGGATTCTACTTTGGGATTATTTTATAAGGATTCATTTGATTTGTTCGCTGCTGTGACTGCATCAACTATACATCTGAGGTTTTCTTTTATCAACTCTTTAGCTTCTCCTTAAATTTTCACTCAATTCAACTCAACCACAAGTACCCGACTATTTTTACAATCCGATCGACACCTTTGGGTCCAGCCTACTCTACCACCTCAATCTAGTTCATTAAGCGGTTAAGTAAGTTGAGTGAGTGCGGCGCCATTGTCTTCTAGCGTCTGACGTCAAAGTGTTTGAACCCCCAAGGCATTTACAGTACTCTCATTCGGTGGTTTGCGGTGCTGTCTCAGTTTACCTCTATGCTATGATGTAGTATTATCATTCCCCGCCACATCTCACCCCCATCTTACCTCTGTTCGCAGTGGGCTACTCCGTTGGCTTCACTTTTCTTGGTGCAACTGCAGCTGTCCGTGACATCGCTGTTTTCTGGAGCCTGTTCATCTATGGGGCTGGGACTTTGTGGGGTTTTGTGCAGGCAGGACTTGCGGCTGAGGCATGACTTGGGTTGGTTGATGAGGAGTGGGGCCGAGGCCATGCGCTCCAGATAACTGCGACCCGATCGACTGCCCACTCCCAGGGGCGTGCCACCTGCCTTCTGTTGACCCGGCTGGCACTGCATGGCTGCCGAGGCATTGTTGACCATGGCTTTGGAGGCCAGAGTTATCACTTGGGGACGGCAGTAGCGCGATGCTCTATTGGGTTCGTCATTGAAGCTGCAAGACACAGAGACACAGAGATGGTTCGATCAGTACGGGATGGGATGGTTCGAGTGGAATGGGGTCTCCTATTCGGGGATCTACGCATTCGCCTCCGTGCACTTTTATCAGCCTTGATAAGCGGGGGTCCGATGCGATCCGCTTTTAATATGCTCGCGCTTTAAATTTGTACGGCGATAATATTTGCCGTCCATTGTTCTGAGGCCTATGAATACCACTTAAACCCACACTTCTACTGATACTAAATATAGTATGTATGTACGGTATATTGTCTATAAAGAAACATCGTTGATAAGCCATACCCATCAGTTGCGCACGACCTCCGCACTTGTTTCAGGAATGCGGTGACGATGGTCGGGTGTTCTGGAGAGTGCCATTGGATGGAGAATTTTGTGAATCACTGCCGAAAGTGTGTTTCCGAAACTAAATAGCCTTTATAATGCCATTCCTCTCACTACCTAAGTGTTGAATCATTTGAAATAGTTCCATTTTTTCGGCTAGACGATAATAAAATTTCCTACATAAAGACAATGCTTGATAAGGTTCTGCCTAGACATGTACATATGCTGGTTTCGTGTTTATCAGCCTGGCTATGGCTAACTCAGCGTGGGCCGGGCCTGGTTTCAAGAACATGTCTCGCTGATTAGAGGGCAGTCTGATCCGTATCACCATATTTTCTGACTTTGTGGGCAAGTGAAACGTTGCAGTGTTTTTATTACAAATCAAGATATGTAGGTACTTCGGCTATTTGAAGAGGGCATACTTTACAAATGTGCATATAAATCTTGTTCGGTAGCTCTTAAGTCATGATGTAAAATTTTAATTGAATCGAAGGAGAGACAGACGAGCTACTTGAATTAGTTGGAGTGGTGTGGGTAGCTCTTCGGCCGGCTAATCACGTGTTTTGATAAGCAGCTTAGATAGTACAGTGTTTTTCCTCATACACGTGTATGTACGAGTAGTATGTACATATAAGTGGATCAGTGGGTATAGTTATTTTATCTTTGTTCAATGTTTCTCTTGCTAAACAAAAGATATCCTCCAACATATATTTATTCGATTATTTTTAGCCTGAATATTTGAATATCATCCAATAAATTATATGAAATGGTGTTTTTGTGTTTTTATCATTGCCGAAAATAAAATCCACACTATAAATATCACCAGTGACTGATGCAGCTCGTGCACCAAACGAGGCGCCATAAATGTGGTCAGTTTCCAAAAGTAAGTAAGTAAATCTAAGTAATTGTACTTAGAAAAAAAAAACAGACAATACCCTAAGCAAATACCACCTCCCTTTCTGCGATTTGTCATACTTTTCTTTTGGACACCCTGAGCCAAAAAGTTGCGTCAAAATGCCACGCGCAAATTTGTCGTCAAGCGGACAATCGTCGGCGTCATCTTCCCGACTCGTGGACAACCCTCCAAATCTCAGAGCTAAAATAACAAAACACATAGTAGCCTCTTCGAAATGTTTGTTTTGGTTCGCGATGATCGTCCATCGTCTTGCCTCGCCTTGATCTTGACTGCTTTCATTCTATTTCACTTCATTTTTCGCCAATCCAATCTGCTGTCAACCCAAACGTACCTCAGTCCCGAGAATATTAAAAGTGACTGCATTCATTGTGTTCTTTAAATATAGTTCCTTTTTTTTGCGTCTTTCGCCATACAATACTTTTCTGTATTTGATCACCTGGAAAAATCACCTGGCTAGGGTGTCACCTGTACAGGTGTTCCAATTTATCTATTCTGTGAGGCATTCAATAACCACATTATAGCATTCCCTAATACATAAGTGCAAATAAAACTAGCAGCAAGGGAAACTTAATCTAAAATCATGTTTAATCCGGTTGGGACTATCGACCGATTTAATTCCATTTTTTTTAAATATTAATCAGAAAATAACTGGAGACTTGTCGATGATAAGAAAATTGAAAAGAAAGTTCAAGACGTGACACAAAACTGTAAACGTGGAAATTATGCAACTCATTCTCGTTTCTTATTTCTTCTGTGTTAATTTCATTTTTATTGAATTTATTTTGATTGAAGACCGAAACTCGTGCGTTCACTTGAATCAATTTAGTATAAAAAAAAATTAGGCAAATTGATGGAAATATTTATTTATGATTCTTTTTGGGTTAACTTACTTCAATGCCGGCCGCTGATGTCCGCTCATGTAGTCCGCCAGAAAACTAACGGGTGGACTGTGACTGAATATGGGCGGACTGTGCGAAATCATTTTATATAGATCTGTGATCTGTTGTTTCCTATTGATTATATTGATCTCGAAACAAGGAACTTTTTGTGTGGAAGCCCCTGAGAAAGAAATATAGAAAATAAAATATTTATAATTACATGTTGCAATTGAAGCGCAAAAAACAATAACAAAATGAAAATCAAATTAAATTTTAATTGCGAATATTGTATATAGTGTCTGCTGTAGAAGTATTTGGTTTGATTTGATTTTTGTTGTTGATAATCTCAGGTGGGATCTAAACTGTGATTTGTCGATGGTTTTAGCTGCCGAGATTCTTGATAAACATGCATACAAATGTACATGTGTATGTACATATGCATGTGCATCTTTAGAGTGGATGATCAAAAGTACTGTTTATGTTTTATACACATATTTTTTGCTAGATTCTCGAATGAGTTGTGGTCTCGCTCTGCTATATGTTTATTATTCCTATTTCGTTTTGGATTGGGTTGAATACTGGTGGATGGAACTAACCGTTAGTTTATGTTTAAGTCTCGTTCTTTCTGTCTTCTGTCTCCTTTGGTTTCTTCTTTTGCCTGCTGCTAAGGTATTTTTCTTCACTCTCTTCTTTTATGAATTTTGAATTAATTTTCATTTAATTTCATTTGTGCATCACGCGCGCTCTTCACGGATGACGGCGGCGTCAGACAATGAAATTGAATTTTAGCGAATTTGTAACCGAATTTATTAAAATATTCTTGAGATTTCTGTGTGACAGGCACTTAGTCAACGGACACACGCACAATCGGGGACTTTCCGGCCTTTTCTGATTGATTAGCCGGCGCTTTTTCTAGCCCCTGCCGTTCTGTTAGTTACTAATTTTTAGTTTCGACAAACAAACGAACGACATGGAAAAAAACAACAAGCGCTTCGCCTTCGGTCCCGTTCCGTTCCGTTTGAAGCTGCGAAAACGAATGAATGTGCTGTTGGGTGCAACTTGCCGTCAAGACTTGTACGTCCATAGCACAGTGGGTTAAATGACCAATCTAGAGCGCAAAAACGTCTAGACAAAATTACATAATTTATTTGTCAAATAGACATTTTTTAATACCAATTCCATGTGTAGATAAGAGCAGAACGAGATTATTACTCATTACTGATTCTATTTTAGATAATGTCATGTAAAGCACAATCTACAAAAGATACTATTCGATAATTCATACCTAAAGGTATTTTGAAATTCCACTTTTTTTGCGTGTTAAAATAAACATTTCAACCACTGTGCATTGCCAGAGCGTTCGAGAGAGAGAGAGACCAAGAGAGCGTGCATTCACATTCGCCCTATCTACATAATCGTACCTTTCGCTCTCTCTCTGCCGCTGATCGACGTAGCGTGCCTTTTCGATTGCATTTTGATATAGAGTTTTAGTAAATGAGTTTTCGATTAGTTTAGGCGCCGCTACTGTCACCGACTCTTTCTCTTTGCACGCCCAGGCGGGTGACAAAAGTCGCTCGCTGTCAGGCCCGAGAGACATGATCAGATCACATCGGATTAGCCGATCACAGCATCCCAACCCATCCCACTTTTCGGACTTTGTTTAGCGTATCAGCTGTTGCTCTTCATCTTTACCTTTACATTAATATCGTGTTTGAGGAGGCTTTTGCTTTAATGTGTTCCGTTGTAGCTCACGCATTTTTTTGAGGCCTTGTCAGATCTAAATCAATTAGTCCAACGGATGAGGGTCATGTGTAAGATATTTTTTAGAAACATGTCTTTTATCGACTCATTTGAAAGGTCAAATGTTAGCATGGGGTTCACGGGTCTTGCTTTGCATTGCATAATCAATGAATAAAAGCAAATACGTGCAAGTTAATGCAGTGATATTAACACCAGTAAGGAAAACGCATATAAAACCATTCGAAAAAGCCTTTAAATGGGTCATTCAAATTGAATATCTTTTAATCTTACCATTTTTCATCTATTACAAACCAAACGGAATGCCTATGAACCATTGTCAACCCACATGAAATCTGTCGTACCCACATCAAAACTCTCTGAGGCAAACGGAAACCCCTAAATCTGAATGCAACCAACTCTACACAGAAATGCAGTCTGGTTTTGGAACTGGAACCTCGTATCGCTGGGTTGTTGGGCACCTTCTATGGCAAAGAAAGTGTATCTGTGTGAGTTTATCTTTGGTCTCATTGCTTGTGAGTGTGTGTGTGTGGTGTGCGTGCCTCGATGACATTCGCTCATGGCGGTTTTATAGTTGTTGAATGCTCTCTCACAATGAATGATCTCAATCTTAACCCCAGCCTCAAAATGAGTTGCATGATAATGCACCTACATATGGATGTGAAGGGTTTTCACGCTTTTTGTCTTTCGAGTGTTAAAAAGTCTCGTTTTGCTTGCACACTTTCTTCTGATGGCAACGCAGCATCCCATTTGGTGGAGAGCTTCGTTTAAAAGGGGGTCTTTTGGAGAGGTATGTAAGTAGAGGAGCGAGAGCCGGCCGGCTTGCCTAGTTGAAAGCCGGTTTCTCAAAGATCCCGTCCCTGCTTGAATAAAAAGTAGTTACTCGAGTGGTTCGCTGCAGTTCGTCGGCTAGAGTCTCAAAACATTCGGAGAGCTCTCCATTACCATCCTCCCTTGCCTTCGCCCCTGTTCCACGAAATGCCCATTCCTGTCTTCCCCTTCATTCAGGGTTCTCTGCTCGATCTCTTCTCTCTTTGGCTGCACACTCGAAATTGCTGGCACTTGCGTGGGCCTTGTCTGCACCGTACCCTCTGGCAAATTTAGTAGCTGCTTCTCCATACGATACACACTCGTGCATACATATGCATGTATACTTGTTGTATCTTGTCTATTCCTGTAACGATTTCCATATTTTCATACATCTTTTCCAGGCAGTTGTAATTATAGTTCGTTGCTTTCGAGCGGAGCGGATGTGCATTGCTTGGTGGACAATTTACAAAAATTTCAATTTATACGGGTGGCTTGCAGTCTCTTCGCCGCTCTTTCGCCCAATGTGTGGCTTGTCACAACTATTATATAAATAAATTAACATGAGTCCACGTGCCCCTGAAATCAGGGGGTCCACTGCGAAAGAGGGTGATGAAATCGGCAGGGAGTTCAAATATGGGCTAGCGGCGCTTGATTATCAGTGAAATTCAATAGATTATAGTCACAATATAGCATGCTGATTTTCAGACTAGTTCGAGAATCTAATTTTAGAAATGGGCGCGCGCCTCAGATGATTTTTTCGCCTTATCAATGCATATTGAGAATCCCCCGAAACAATCGACCAGGCATCTTGCTGATAAACTGCGCAGCATAAACTAAAATCATAAATATAGAACTGGTTTATTTTTGGGAAGAGATAGAACTCAGAGAGCATGAGCGTGGTGGCCATGCCGTAACTGACCTAGAGCACATGATCGTAGCGTGATCGCCAACGGAAAGCAGCTAAAAAAGAAAGATAAAGACACAAATTTCTTTTGGCAAAGATTTCGTATCAACACAGTTCTTCCGCAACGGAAACGGAAAAGTCGCAAAAAGGTTTGACTACAAATAAACCAAGGGATAGATACCATGCTAAGAGAGGAATTCCCATGGCAGCTTATGGCCAGAGTGATCTCTTTAACAATCTTAGTCGGTCTGCGTTCTGTTTTATTTTGTTGCGTGTTTTTCGCTTCGCTTCAGAACGTAACTTAACGGATCCGACCGCGTAATTTTCCATTGGAACTAATACGATCGGGGATCGGCGATTGGCGATTGGCGGTCATCAGTGATCACTGATCAGCATTAAAACAAACTTAATTATGCGATCGCTTATATTTATGTACATATACTCGTAGAAGTATAGAAAGCCATCGAGCAAACAGCAGGCGAGTGAGTCTGAGGCCTGAGGCCGGAGCCGACCACTGCTGATCACGTTTTCACTTGCTGCTTCAGATAGGGGTCCCGGCAATAGTTCCATTGACATCGCCAGACGTCGGCTATCTGGCCAGACCCGACGCACATCAACGCAATGTCTGATATCGCGTGGGTCTGCGCTGATAGCTGATAGTGAGCCACTACTAATTGAGTACTCCCCAAACACCCTAAATATAGTAAGACTCGACCTCTTCATTATTCCGATGTTAATCACCGAACCAATAGACACAGTGACCAACGGAAGGGGACAGGGAATGCCACTTATCAACATCTGTTTGCCAGACCAAATTGAGTAGAGTACGTCAAGTGTGTACTGTGGCTAATGTATTTGATTTTCAAGTTTGGCTCGTGCGCTGGTTTCGTTATTCTTTCTAAGGCAGTGATAATGCAAATAGCTGTGGACACCTAACTTGATTGGGTTATACTTTAAGTCCAAAGAACATCAAAATGAGGTTTCTGTGAGCTTAAATGGGAGTGGGACTTTGAGGGGAAGAATGTGCCATACTAATCATTTTTTAGTCGACATAAATCTGAATTTTCTTAAGGATCTTAATACATGTATGTATCTAGCTATACGTATATTTATGAAACTTCAGTATCAAGTACTCCTACTCCATTAAGATATGCATAAAGATATGTCTTCTCATTAACTTCTTATTTCTTCTACCCACTGGAATTCTAATACACCTCTACAAATTTCATTTAAAACTTGATTTCATCCTAAAAATTCAGAGTCGACTTGTGTGCAAAAACACATTCACTAATTGACAGGTTCCAAATTGCATTGTTTTCTCTCTCACCTGATGAAATATATACATATGCATAAATTTGGTGCGTTTCTATCTGATAAAAAATTTAAGAAACCACATATAATAAATAAATTATATGAACAGCCTGAGAACTATGACAATCAAATATACTAGTAATGGCGTAAAAAACTTAATCTTAATTTAACATGGTAAGAACCTTACCAAAATAAGTATTCTTGGTATTTGAGATGCTAAAATCTACGTTAAATTTTTGAAAATTTTAAGAAATTAGAAAAGTTTTTTTGTAAGGTGGAATTAAATCCTACTTATGGGATAAAATTTATTTATAAAACTTACCTGATCCACTCAACTTAAACACTTTTCTTTGAAAATAAGCAATTTTTTCAAGACCAGAGATAGCAGTAAATACTGTCGAACATCTTAGCTGCTTCCGGTTAATGCAACATTAACATAAAAGTAAGCGAAGTCAAGTTCAAAAATATATGCCAGAGCACTGCATTCAATGTTTAATTCGTACATTGCACTGACCGGAATACAAAAATGTAACTATACATATTCTTGACTACTATATGTACATACATATGTGAGTACGTGCATACATACATGGGTATGTAGATCTAGAACCGCGTAGACAAGTTTTACAATTTACATGGCCGGGGCGAATGAGTCAGTGGGACAAGCAAAGCAATCTGCTTTTTGTATCCATTAAATACAAACGATTTCGCATATCTGATAAAGGCGCTGCACACTTAGAATTTGGCAAAATTTTGATTAAATTAACCTTCTATTTGGTGGAGAGGTCAGTCGCAATCTGGACTAGAATCAGTTGGTTTGGCTTTATTCTGTACGCGATTTCTTTGGTATGGTATTTTTTGGCAATGGGCAGAGGTTACTCAACTGTTTTATCATTATTTTAGGAAGACTCCCGATTTTGAATTTCTCAGTTCTAAGTTACGGTTATGCATTACGGTTATCCAGAGAAATTTCAATCATTTTCCTTTCTTTCGTGCTATTTTGTCGGGAGCTTTTGAAGTACGAAGATTTTCAGCTTTAAAAGTCTCGTAGGTCCCAACTGGGTCATCTTTTGGCTTATCAATGAACAAGCATATGTACATGTGTTCATATATGTTTATTGTACGTACATAAAAAAAATAAAATAAAGAAAAAACCATAATGCAAGGTGAACAAAAATATATCAAATGATAAGATATCCTAGCTAACGATAGGAAATTTATTGAGCTGGGGATTATAATAAAGCGTCTCTGAAGGAATGTGGGATTAAGTATGTACAATTGTGCATGTCTTTACTTATTTTGTATACATACATACATATGTACATATATAGATGTATAAATATAAATATTATTACGAACATGATTGTAAAACAGCAAAAAAAAAACATGAAAATAATCATCACGAAAATGCCTCTGAAAATTTTCCACCCCAACCTTCTCGTTATATTTGCAAACAAATAAGCATGCCTATAAAGAACATCAAAGATCGTATCTCTGGGATTTATGGGTCAATGGGTTTATCTCCCGACATGTTACAAATTGTTACAATCTCGGTGAGTTCCTGTAATTTTCAATGTACTTTTGACGTCAATGAAAATAGGTTTTGATATCAAAAAGAATCATATAATTAATTACAACTATCTTTTAGGAGAAACGTAGTCAAACATTCATATTAGTATCTAATAGAGAAATTGTCATAATATTAGTATGCATATATGTATGTGTAATGGAGGGATAAAATTACCTATGTACCTATGTATGAATGCATGTAAGATTAGATTACTTATGGCTTGTCTTGAAAGCTATTGAGGAATTGGCCAAATAAAAATGAAAATTTTCTTTGCATTCATGATTGCATGCCCCATCTGACCCGTAACGCCTCCTAATCGAGTGCCGGCTATAAATTAATCCAAAAACAAATAAAATAAAATTTTCCATTAAGTTGATTTTCATTCCTTAATTTCCAGATACCTTTTGACACCATACCCATCGCCACCTGGCGGTTTGGGCGTGGGCGGAACTTAATTTAACGGTTTAGCCTTTCATGTTTTCATCTTTCGTGTGTCCTCCTCCTCGCTTAACTTTTCGAGCGTGTCCAATGGCATACGAACAAGAACAAATTTGTTTTCTGGCGCTTATGGAGAGTGAGTGGGAGATTGATTAGGAGCGGAGGAGATTGTGGGCTCCATTGTTGTTGCCGGCCAGTCGCGCGACCAACTAGCATATCAGTTGCCATTTCAATCCTCCGTCTTTCTTCTACCCTCCTATCCGTGTATTCTTCCTCTTCTTCAATGTTAAGTTCAATGACAGAATTTGACGCCCCCTTGTACCTCCTCTTGTTGCTCATGAATCTTTGGACAGGGTTTAATCAGCCTGGCTTTGTTATCTGTGTTATAGTATGTATGATGGCCTAGTTTCTTTTTTGGGGGCAGATGGGGAATCGAGAATACGAGGGGTGACTGAGGAAAGGTTAATTAATTTGCAATTTCATTGAATCACAAGCTCTGACCCAGAAATGGGAATACCAAAAAGTTCCCTCCAATATATGCAGGGGACGGGTGCCGGTTGTGGACATAGTTTTGTTTTTGCCTCATAACTTTTGACCAATTGCATATTATACAAACATATGTACATATGTGTACCAATTTAAAGCTAGAGGTATTAGCTTCATACCAGTGAAAGAACTAAGTTGATTCCTTCATACAGAAATATTTGATCAAGAAATTAGGAAAGAGACCTTTTTTCGAGAAAAAAAATATACGCCCCTTTGTGGACACCTTGGAAAAATCCACTGAAACTTAAAGAAACCGAAAGTTTATTTATTTAAAGAGGATTCCTGGCCCAAAGAACAAAGTTGACACGTTTTAACATTAATCATCGTAATCAGAATCGCAATGATTGCATGTGAAGTAGCTGCCACGCATATCAGCGCACATTAAATGCACCGAACGACTACATTCGTTGCATTTAACGGCCGTCAATTTCCTTGGCAGAAGTTACAGACAGAGGATACAGAAGTCCTGATCATCGTCAGATAGAGCCTTGGCGCGTTTAGCTGATGGTTTAGATGGACTTTCCTTGACGCGCTTTGCATCTTTCGTGGCTGCTTTTCCTTCAAAGAGAAATGTATTCTGGAGAAGTGAGCACTTAGCTTTCCATCGGCTTTCAACCACGATTCGAAGGCGTCTTTGGTGTAACTGCTTGCAGAGGACCAAATTCTTCAAAAAGTGATAGGCAGATTGTGAAGATGCACAGTGGTCTAACTGTTATTTATTTGTTCTACATCACCATAAACAACGTTATTATGCAGTTTCTCAACCAAATAAACGCATTGAATAAAACAAAACCAGGGTGTCCACAACCAGTACCATGACGTGTGTCATGCATGACCCGGCCTAACAGTCAATTTTTCCAAAAGGCCAGACAAATCACAAACTACAATGACAACACTACGAGAAAAACGGAACACTAACATTTACACCCATTTTCTCGCACTTCCAAAATAATAAAATTCAATTTTGTTTATTTTTCCCAATTTGTGTACCCGTACTCGATGAGTTAAGAGGTACTACATACATATATTAGATTTGTGGTAAAAGTAGATGTGTGTAACGCAGAGAAGGGAAAGTTTCCGACCCCAAAAAGTAAATATATATTTGATCAGCACTAATAGCCGAGTCGATATAGCCATGACTGTCTGTCCGTCTTGATGAGCGCCTAGATCTCAGCGACTATAAGAGCTAGAGGAACCAAATCTTGTTTCCAGGCTCATGTGATATCACACTGCCCACCCCCCACAAAGGACGAAAATCTGTGGCAGCTACAATTTTAAAAATACAAAATAACTAAAAACGCAGTATTGTAGAGAATGACCAAATCTATCAGATTTCCGCCCGCCCCTCTCAGATCAGCAGACAGCTACTTAGCTCAGCTACTTAGATGTAAAATCTACATTGTAGATGTAAATACATTACAGATGTAGCAATAAAATGTAAAATATAAAATATTTTAAAATTCTATACCGACTGAGTATGGGTATGGAGTCGCGTCAGCAGAAACAACTCACAAAGTTCCTTCTCGTTTTTATTATGCTCACAGCACCTACATCAAATTAGCTATTTGTTATGGTTATTAGCAGGATAATTGCTTGCTGTCTAGGTTTTCGTTAGGGTAGTCAATTTTCCATAATGTAATAATGTAATGTAACTTTCCATTTAAAAAAGTTCGTTATTTGGGAAATGGCATCAATAAGTTTGTATTATTCTAATGATACTGGACATGTATAGAAGTGCCGAAGCACTTGCTCTCTGGATGCAAACAGTCTGATTGAACGGCTAATTGGCTGCAGTTCCGCTTTGGGTTTAAAGAGCACTCTGTGATGGCTTTAAATAGATTACCAAGGGCTTACCAGATCCGTATTATTTTTAGAGCGAACATTTTGCGGTGCTTAGGTAACAGTTTTTCCGGATTTGTTATTGAGTGGAACCCGCCCACCTAATCAGGGCGAAAATCGATTCCAACGGGGCTTGAAAATCCCAGGAATTGCACATTTTTCCACGTTTTCAAGTTCTAATCTAGAAACGGTGCTGGGGCTGGACATCTCTAGGCGTTGGCGCCGCTGTCAGCGTAGCCGTCTAAACAAATGTCGTTCCCGTTGTGCATATTGTACATTATACTATGCATAAGTATTTGGATTATCAGTTAATTTAATGATTTCGAATTTAGATTTGTGGGCAGGCGATTAGTTAACATTTGTTTTCAGCGTGTCCAGCAAAGGCCCAAAGGCAGAGACAGATGAGATAATTAATAGCACATGCAGTCCCCCCCCTCCCCACCCTACCGTACTGATGCCACTCCGGCTAGTTTTTATTTATAGACAAGGTTTATGCGTTTGTTGTGCCCACATCCTCCGATCTGGGGATCCGCTTTGCGGTGCACTCTATCTGTTTGAAGGCTGAATGTTATTCCAAAAACTGACGATCTTGGCATATTGGTTTTGATAAAGAAGCTTGACTGGATGTGTCAAAGGGCAAAGGGAGGTGTGTCTGAATAGGGGCGTTGTACATATGTATTCCCTATTGGCTGATGAGATCTTTACACTTTAGAAGTGTGGTGGTACACATTATTTTATTCTTTAGAGCGAAAACATTAGAAAATAACCAAAAAGCAATTATACTGTTCACGCATTACCATAAAGTAGTTTAAGCCCTCCAATATATAAAATACAAATATCGTTGCCATTTCAAATATAGATTTCAAATTAAAACGTCTTCGCGCCAATTTCACTCTGCTTTAAAAACTGAAGTCGTGGCAACTCTAGCAATCTAGTTAGAAGGGCATGCGACAGATGTCGCTTTGAGAAAACGGAGTAGCAGGTACCCCAAAAAATCTGGAATCTCTGAATGTATTAATTTTTAAATAAATAAACTTACATGAATAAAAATAAATAAACACCATATACACAAAAATAATTAATGTATTTATGCTTAAAGATCTCATTACTTTATCGATAGCAGCGAGTATCGTATAAGACTGGTATGATATGTAGCAAAGGTGTAGTTACTGTGTAAGAAACTCAATTTAGTCGACATTATTATAGACCTCTTTCAATCAAGCCATATTTAAAGGAGTACGTAACTATAGGCAGTCTTTTAGCAAATTGATTACATTGTCGGATAAAATTGTATGGTGAGCCAGATTTTAATGGAAAAAAAGCGAAATCGGCAGCACTGCCGAGTCCTACCCGGGAACGCGGCGAGCAACTCGTCTGGCGGGAAAATAAGTGAAAATAATTTTCATGCTGGTTCATTTCGATAGAAATGTAGAAAAATAGCCAGATATTCGGGAAAAAAGCGGAGTCGGCAGCACTGCCGTTCCTACACTGGCGCGCGGCCAAAAAAGTGAAAATAAATAATAATAACATAAACAAAAAATTTAGAAAAAAATGGTGAGTGCCGGCAGTAAGACAAGTGAGTTTCCCAATGCTCGCTTAGCTATTTTCGTGTTTATTTAGACATTTAGTGATATATAGAGGATTTCAATTGGCATTTCATACATTTTCGGAAAGACCCGGGGACAATCTCACTCCAGCGCCATTTAATAGTAGCTGCGATCTACTGCGGGTCCGGGGCCGGCGCCGACTCCCGCATCGAACAGAGGCTCTGGTGACCTCTTGCCACCCCATGAGTGGAATCGCTGCTTCTTGCCCAGGACCACGGAATTGCGTTTCTCGTCGCGCTGCAGCTGCGACTTGATGTGGCAGCGCTCGATGACTGCATCCCGGATTATGGAAGCGAACTCCACGTCGTTGAACTGAGCCATCAGCAGCTTGAAGAATGCCCAAATCTCGCCTCTCTGCGAGGTGGGCGGTGGGGCATAGTGGTGGAAGAGCCAGCCCCCTTCCGACAGGGAACTGTCCTCGGCGCTCACCGACCGGGCGTTGTAGGCGTCGCACACATCTTCGAAGCTGAGAATGGCCTGCAGGATGAACCTACGGTACTTGGACAGCTGGAGCTCGCAGGTATTTAGCTCCACGTCGGCGGAGGCAGAGTGCGTGGGCAAGGCGTACAGCTGCCTGGAGAGCGCCAGCAGCAGGAACAGGAGTCGCCAGGTCTGCATCATTCAAAGAGCTGCGTGCGATGGATGTGTGCCAACTGAGCTGGGAAATGGCTCGTCGTTGGCTTATATAGCTGCGGGTTTAAGTCCAACTGTTGGCCCGGCCACTGGTGGAAGAAGGAGTTGCGCCCGTTGACAACTTTGAAGTCCATAAAATAATTATAAAACGTTTGTCGTTTGCATTTTCTAAGCCGTTACACACGTCGCTAAATAAATACGAGTGCGTATTAATAAGCGTGGCATGCCCCGTCCTATCCTCGTCCTGGCTGTGGGCCGACAGTTGCAACAAGTGTCATAAATTTTCACGCTCCTAACTGCCGCTCGTTTGTTTCTTTCCGCTATGCCCGGCAATTTATTAATCCTGCCCAAAGATAAACGTGACGTGCACTTGAAACTGAGAAGGACTCCCCAAACGACTTGCCTTATATGTGGGTCGTGTCCCGCTTCTCTGTGTCCGCGTGAAGGCGCCACCACCCACCACCCTACTAACTAACCCCTTTTTGCTTGCCACTCACTCAGTCGTACAAATGCTCGCTGATTAGCAGGCAAGCGTATGAAATTAATCATATGCAAATATTACCACTTTTTTCCGTTGCTCAAGTTGTTGATGTCCATGCCCTTGCAAGGGGTATATCAGTTTTCAAAAAATATGCATGGGTATTCTTGTTCAGCTTGAAGAGTTTATTTTAGCTTGTAGGTATTTTGCTTTCTTCATAAAGTTGAGACCACATTATGTTTGACATTTGCCAAGTCTGTTATAAAAGCATTACAAAAGAGCAAAAAAAAAAGGGTAAATTTCCTAGGGTATTCCGAGCTTTATTTAACACAGTCAGCCCTAGCCCACTTGTTGGACATCTCTCTAGTCTTTAATTTACTCAAACGTCATGGGGATAGCTTGGCTGTAGGCGTTTGTTTGGAGGAAACATGTGCGGGCGGAAGGACTTGAAAAGGAGGAGGAGTTAGCCTTGGATAACTTAACTTAATTCCTTATTTCCAGTGAAATTTTTCATCAAAGATGTTATTATTTATTTTGTCTTTATAGAAATTCCGTTTTTGCGGCGAAGGTGATTGTCCCGATTGGGTATTGGCCGAAATCATATCAACCCTCTCCAACTTGAGTATAGAGAATTTGGAAAAGCTGAGCGATCTGGTGGCTCAAAGGATATGTGGTGGAACTTTCGAGGTGAGTGTGCGATATTAAACGGATTCGGCATTTACCGACTAACTCTCTATCTCTCTCCTCTAGGAATCGGCTATCAAATTATTGACATCCACACTCACCAATGAGGGGAAGACGGCCGTGGCCTGCATTCACTTTATGCTGATCAATGCATCCCGCTACAACTGCACGGAGAGCATATTTGGCGAGGAGATCCAACAGCTAGGTCTCCCCAAGGACCATGCTGCGGCCATGTGCCGTGTGCTGCAAAAACATTCCGGTTCCATACGTCAGAAACTGATAGACAAGGCATTTAGAAGTGGGTTCCTTTGGGCATGTTGTTTATGTATTCACTATATTCAAGTTTTCTTCTCCATTTTCCTCAGTTAACGAGCTGCAAAGCGTACGTAATGTTACCTCGCCTGGCGAAACGCCAGCAAATTGTGCCACCCTGGAACTGAAAATCTCGCAAGAACTGGTCGATGGCCTGCCCCAGGATACCACGCATATTGTAAACTTAGAACGCTCGCATATGATGGCTCTGCTGGCAGAGCTGAAAGTGGCTCGCGATATTATGGAGAAATATGAAAATAAACACTAGAAAGGGAATGCGAGGAAAGAAAACTGAAGAGACTGCAGCATATTTAATGGCATATACATAGACAGCGCTTACTAAGGAACAGAGATAGTTTGATACAAAGCCAATCAGTGAGCTAGCTAGTCAGTCGGTCAGTCAGAAAAAAAGTGTATATAAAATATGTAAATGTCGATTTGAAGAAATTTTGGCAATCGATTTTCGAAGCATTTTTCCAACGTTATAAAATAATTAATTTTTTCAGATGTTTTGATGATTTACCAAACAGGTCAACATGCTAATGAACACAGTTCCTAATCCTGTTTTCCAATAAACATTTTCCAGTAGTGGAGCAAGACACTTTCCAAATCCTTTTAATGCTATATATAAAGCATTGGCACATCGGTAGCCTTTAAACGCATTTCATGAACTCAGTTTTGATACGAACACCTTGCACACATCGCGTAATGGCTATATGACATTAGATTTAGCCAATTTTTCTGCGTAGGGATAGCATGAGAGACAAAATGAAACATTATTGCTCGTAGCAGTCTCTAGACACGTCTAATGCTTTCAGTCGAACAACTGAGGCACTACTTTATAAAAACATGTTTTCCATCAAAACACAGCCACCAAGCCAGCAAAATTGTATCCGCAAATTAAAACAAGACAGCTTGGCGCATATATTTTCCGCTCTGACTGCAGTCATTTCCCCTAAGGCCATCTCTATTTTTCCAGCTAGTCAGTTAGCAAAGTCTAATGTCATGTAGCTATAAACAATTTTGAAGTCATCATACTAGTCATTCTACTTACTACACACCCACATGTACACACAAGTATGTACTAGTATCTAGGCAAAACAAAAGATATGTTTATTGATTGATTTGATTTTTTCCCAATCAAATATGCGCTACAGTATTTGTGATCATGTCAGCCTATTAGTTATCTAATTTCCCATAAGGAAGGAGCCGAGGAAGACGACACCAACGTTGATCAAGTCGACTGGCCCAGCCCGATCCTTCATTGGAAAGCGAGTAGAGCTCGACTTCTTATGACCTCTGACCGTTACTCAGATTGTAATTACCGGCGAACCTGTCAGATCGAGAAATATATTGGCTGCCCTCGCCAGCACATGCTGTTTGGTGTACAGGTACTATTCTCCACTGGAAGCCACTGCTGTTTCAGCTGCGAGTACTCGCCCTCCACATACTGTGAGATGTTCTTAATAGTGGATATGTGGAAGGGCACCTAGCGGCCGAACACGGGAATAATGACTGTCTCGTACAGCTTCAGTTCCTTGACCTCGGGCTTGCGAGGCATTTGGCTGATGGACTTGCTCTTGCTCTTGCGCACCTTCTCCACTTCCTTGGAGTTGCGCCGTTTCCCCAGACGCTCCTTCGCCTGGGCGATTAGCTGCTGGGTCAGCTGCAGCGCTTTGATGCTGTTAGGATATTTGCAATTCAATTCGCGGCTGAAAATTAAACTTTTGGTAGATTTTATGCCTTGCTTTGCATCTAATAGCCTTTTTACACTGGGCGCGTCTGCTATCGATTTCGGCATAGACGCAATGAAGCAGAAAAGGCGTTTACATTGGAAGACGTGCGTCTTGAATTTGGATTTGGGTGTTTGATGACAAGGAAAGATACACAAATTTTTGAAAATCAACAGAATTAAGCAAGAAGTCAGGAAAATGGACGAAAAAGAATTGATTCTAATATTTAAATATTATTTTCAGACATTTCATTGTAGAGTTTGTGGGAGTTCTTCTTCAAATTATGAAAACCACCGAAGTTCGTCTCCAGCAGTGTCTTAATGGCATCAGGGGGTCAGAAAAATTTCATATGATAATAATACAATCAGTTTCAAGTATTTTATTTAATGACTTTATGTATATTTTCACCTTTTTGCACAATCATACATTTTTAGCGCCAAAATTTGATTTTTGATTTAAAATTTTTTGTTGTTATTAGTGGTGATAGTTGCGCTGATAGGCAGAAAATCCCAAAAATGAGCAAAAGCAATCGAATATATCGAATAGACGCACATGAATCAGAAACTTACGCAACTTTTTGCCACCACTAGGGCCCTATGCTTAACCTATGTAAAACGAGAAGGAACGTGTGAGTAGCTTCTGGGGACGCGACTCTACTTATACCCGTACTCAGTCAGTATATACATTTTTGAGATTATAATTTTTTTGAATTTTAGAAAAAAAAAAAATGTACATATTTTTGCTACATCTGTTATCAACATCTACATATACTATGAATATTCTACATCTAACATGTATATTATACATGTACCATTTAGATTCTACATCTCCTCCGCTAGGGGTTGCTCGCACACTGAACGCGGCAGAGTGTGCGAGCGAGAAAGAGAATCAGTGGCTAGTTTTCTTGCCGGAGGGGGCGGGGAAAGCAACAGAAAATTAATTTCTTCATTCTGGCTATAATTATGATCCGATCTGATTCAGATTCGGCAATCTGGTAGATATGGGCATTCTCTACGATACTGCGTTTTTAGTTTTATCGTATCTTTTAAATTGTGCCTGCCACCGATTTTCGTCCTTTGTGTGGGCGGAAGGGGGCGGGGCGAAATTTTGAAATACACTTGTAGCAGTGTGATATCACATGAGTCTGGAAACCAAATTTGGTTACCCTAACTCTTATAGTCTCTGAGATCCAGGCGCTCAACAAGACGGACAGACGGACAGACGGACGGACGGACGGACAGACGGACGGACAGACAGACATGGCTATATCGACTCGGCTATTGATGCTGATCAAGAATATATATACTTTATGGGGTCGGAAACGTTTCCTTCTCTGCGTTACACACATCCACTTTTACCACAAATCTAATATACCCCTTAACTCTTTTTTGAGTACTGGTATAAAAAACTGCGTCTCCGGCAAGACGCAAAGAAGCATGACGCAGCCCCAATGTAAACAGCCTATTAAACATACTTTATTTCCACTGAGATCCAGGAGTCCACGCTCTTCATTTGATTGTCCCCAAAATTGGTCATCGTGATAGATGTTGCTGCAGACTTGCTTTAGGGTGGATACATTTGCCAGACTAGACACAATGTTCTTGAAACAGACTGTTCAGACTGCGGCTGCGTCATGCTCCTTTGCGTCTATTCCGATATCGATAGGAAACGCGCCCAGTGTGAAAACGCCCATGCACCTCCAGAATTCAAATTCAGCCGCCTTGAACTTCGCGGTTCAGTTCGGTTCAAGTGGTTCCAGAGATTACGAACCAGAATATATATCGATAGCTTTGGTACAAATTAGCGCAAAATTCCTGTAACTGCTAACACTGTTTAAAAATAAAGTTGAAAATGCGTTATCTCTATTATCATTGGTGTCAAACGATTGGCGAGATTCCCCCAATCAGAAATGGGCTAGGTACAACTAGAGGGGCCAACAAATAGTGGACTCTCCACTCGAGATAAACTGATGTACATTATATTAATAGTCATTTATATAAGATTCTAGTAAAAGATCAATTAGCAGATGTATTTCCAATCACAGAAATAGCTCTTTGGATCTTGTGTAACATTGACTAATTGAACCTTTTCGTAATTAAAATGAATCAAAGCTGCTGAATGAGCTACAGTGCGACAGGAGTGACTAGACATTTTAGTTATAACGATGGTAATTTTATTTATATGATTACGCTTTAAGAATAAAATGGATGAAAACGCTATAAGTTTTTATTTGATTGGAAAAAGATACCTGGTGAGGCAATATCCGTGCAACTGGGTCCAAACGAACGGGAAGTCAAGTTATTTTGCTTGTTGTTGATGGACTTGTCCTGCAGAATGTGGCGCCACCTCACACCATATCTACCTGTTTGATATTGGTTCTCCTGCTTCACTCAATGCTTGCACACATCTCATGACAAATGCAAGCAAAATGGAAAGAGCCGCGGTCTCTTGACCGTCTTGCGATTGCGTCTTCTATCGCATTCCCCCACTGTAATGGCTAATGCGGTAGCCAACAAACCAAATGAAAGAGGGAGAGAAATCGTGTGACATCCCAATTCAGGCGTTTACGTATAAAATGTATTCTAAATTAATCATTAACTTACATACTCACTAATTACACTACTCGACAATTTTTTTAAATCTTTTATTTTTTTCATGTTTTTTTCATAGGTAGTGCTTTCTATTTTTTTACATAACTTAAATATATTATATCTGCTTGCATAGAACTGTGCAGTTCTGAAAAGCTGACAAATGCAGCTATAAATCCGAACCAGACACTTTGTAGCTTCAGCTTAACGTCTGGAAGATATTAAGCTTTCAAATTAGAATTTAATAATTGTTTTGCGGTATTTTTTTCCCGAAATTTCAACTTAAACGAGAAGGAACGTGTGAGTCGCTTCTAAAGACGCGACTCTACTTATACCCGTACTCAGTCAGTATTTACATTTTTGAGCCTATGATTTTTTAGAATTTTAGAATTAAAAAAAAAAAATTTTACATTTTAGGGGTTTGCTTGCGCACTGAACGCGGCAGAGTGTGCGAGCGAGAAGGAAAATGAGATGTGTTGTCGTTGGCAGGAGGGGGCAGGGGAAGCAACTGAAAATCAATTTCGTCATTCTGGCTATAATTACGATCCGATTTGATTCAGATTCGGCAATCTGGTAGATATGGTCATTCTCTACGATACTTAGTTAGTTTCTTAGTTTTTAGTTTCAGCGTATCCTGAAAATTGTGGCTGCCACAGATTTTCGTCCTTTGAGGGGGCCGAAGGGGGCGGGGCGAAATTTCGAAATACACTTGTAGCAGTGTGATATCACATGAGTCTGGAAACAAAATTTGGTTTCTCTAACTTTTATAGTCTCTGAGATCCAGGCGTCAAACAAGACGGACAGACGGACAGACAGACATGGCTCTATCGACTCGGCTATTGATGCTGATCAAGAATATATATACTTTATGGGGTCGGAAACGTTTCCTTCTCTGCGTTACACACATCCACTTTTACCACAAATCTAATATACCCCTTAACTCTTTTTTGAGTACGGGTACAAAAATTCAGGAAAAGTCGAAAAAAAACGAGAAGGAACGTGTGAGTCGTTTCTGGGGACACGACTCTACTTATACCCGTACTCAGTCAGTATATACATTTTTGAGCTTATGATTTTTTAGAATTTTAGAAAAAAACCAAAAATTTTACATTTTACATATATACATTTACATTTACACATATACAATGTCTATTCTACATCTAACATGTAGATTGTACAGGTTGCATTTAGATTCTACATCTCCTCCGCTAGGGGTTGCTCGCGCACTGAACGCGGAAGAGTGTGCGAGCGAGAAGGAAAATGAGATGTGTTGTCGTTGGTAGGAGGGGGCAGGGGAAGCAACTGAAAATTAATTTCGTCATTCTGGCTATAATTATGATCCGATCTGATTCAGATTCGGCAATCTGGTAGATATGGTCATTCTCTACGATACTGCGTTGTGGCTGCCACAGATTTTCGTCCTTTGTGGGGGCCGAAGGGGGCGGGGCGAAATTTTGAAATACACTTGTAGCAGTGTGATATCACATGAGTCTGGAAACAAAATTTGGTTTCTCTAACTTTTATAGTCTCTGAGATCCAGGCGTCAAACAAGACGGACAGACAGACATGGCTCTATCGACTCGGCTATTGATGCTGATCAAGAATATATATACTTTATGGGGTCGGAAACGTTTCCTTCTCTGCGTTACACACATCCACTTTTACCACAAATCTAATATCCCCTTAACTCTTTTTTGAGTACGGGTATAAAAAATATTTCTTGGCATGAATTTGGATCTCTGGTTTTGTCCACAGCATTGGAGTAAAAGTACCTGTCCACAACATTTACAGCCCAAACCGACATGAACAGGAAGGGTATATATCCGAGATATATCCATACCTAGGACTCGGTAAAACCAAAATTATCAATCGATTCTTACAAACGATACCTTTAACGATGCCTAATTAATGCGTCTATCTAAAACCAAAAATTCATGCCAAGAAATATTTTTGTTTCGACTTTTTCATATTCCGATCTTAGTAGTATCCGAAAGAAAAATTTGAAATTAGGAAAGATTTTATTCAATGTAAATTTTATTCATACACCCCCTTCAAATAAAACTCCCCATAAATGTCCTCAAATTTTTACCACAAGTTCAACCCTTTTCAACCCAAATTTCAAGCTCATATCGACTCCATGAACTGTATCAAATTTAATCAACTTCCGTGCACCATTTTGGTACCTATCGCCGTTGATTATAAATTATAGCATAACGTGCGGCGTAAATAAAGTAAAATTTGCTAATAAAAGACACAGAAAAGAGAGTGAATTCGGGGCAAAAAGGGGTTTGTTTTGCTTCCAAATTTGCTTATCATCCTCTTTGGCCACGGCAATTACCGTCGCATCCTTTCTGGCCATCCTCCTGTGTGTGGAGCAGGTTATTAAAATTATCTGCAGTGGCTACAGAAAGAAAGAAAATTTCAATTAAAAGAATACAAAAAAAGAAGAATAAATTAATTTCGAGCTCTCTCTCTCGTTCTCTTTGGAGGATTTTCTAATTATGAGCTTCGGCAGCAGCTGCGGAGGTTAAAAGTTGCGTTTTTATGGCAAATTTTTTTGTATTGTTTTTTCAATTAAACTTGTCAAAAACGGAAGGAACGCGACATTTTTTGATTGCTGCGTTTTGCTTTTTTTGTTTTCGTTATTTTTTCAATTTTTTCTTCTCCTTGCCACATGTTGCTGACACTTGCAGCAGTGATTCGGCACCAGCTCAGGGCTCCATTCTCTTCCCAGTCCAATTTCTGTTTCACTTGGACTTTGAACTTTGATTTATGATGCTCGATGGCGGAAAATATGGTGTGTGTGTGTGTGTGTGTGTGTGTGTGTGTGTGTTTGTGTGTGTTTCTGCCAGCTCTCTCTCCTCTCCAACATTGTCACCTGTTCTTTAATTAAATTTCCCCTCAAGGTCTGAAATGGACTGCAGCATTGAGTTTAGCCCCCCCCGCCTGTCCAACAGTGTACAAATATCATATCGAAAGGTAAATAAATGTTCCACGCAGCTTTGATCCAATTACCCCGGCAACTATTTACCCAGCATTTAATTGGTGCCTCATTCACGATTCCACTCTCAGCTCTCAGTCCTTTCTCCTTGTTCCTATTTACGCAAAATGATATCTAAATATTTGTGTGTCGTGTCAGTCCGCTTGGCACGATTTTCGTGTAAACAAGGCGGCGATGTCAACAGAAATGGTTCACGTAATACTCGTATGGTAAAGTGAATAGCGTATGGGATTGATAGGGGAAGGTAGGCAGCTTGCCTCGCAAATAGCGAGAGGTACCCTTGGGAGGGTTTGGAAGAAGAGTTCCTTTGGTACAGGGCATACACATAGTCGTAATCATCTCTTCCGACCCTTGCAAACCACCAACCTCCAATCCCACAACCAGATTCGACTGGCAACGCCCAAACATGTGTACCGTTATGTCTGGCCAACCCACTCCGCACCCATTTCTCTGGCCTGGCAATGCTGTCACATTACGCGCCTGTTACCATATCTTTACAACTGTATCTGCAGATCGTCCTCCACGCACTTCTATGACAAAGCACAAAACTTAAAAACCTTATGCATGTGATTTGAGGCCGCCCGTCGATGAAGTGGTGGGAGGGGATGATGATAAAGAGTAGAGTTGGGAGTGTTGGGAGTGGAAGATGGCTTGGGAAGAGGACACAAGTGTCAGCCTTTTGTCTGTGGTTCGGTTGGTGGTGGATAGCATAGCTCGTTCTTCCGGGTATTTCTTATTGCTCGGCTGCCGCTTCCGTTCCGGTTTTTAGTTCAGTTCAACGATGTCGGCGTCCACGTCCACCCTTGCGACGATATGGGCCGGTGGCTATCACTGTTTGCCACCCTCTGTGAGCTCTAAGTGTATTTACTGCGGGGGGAAAACCACTTTTTGACTTTTTCAATTTGACTTTTCCTCTGTCTGTTTGGGCCTTCCCCTCGGCGTAATAA